AATTTTACTCATACAACTATTCAATGTCATATGAAACTAGTATGTTTACATATGAAAATTAGTTTCTAATAAAAGCAACAGATTATTATGTAAATTGGCAGACTAAACAGTACATTAATTAGGCATAATTGTACATTATACAATCATTTTGACAAAGTAAATAACAAACTAAATTGACATCCTGTTATTCATCAGTATAGAAGCCACATCCCTAAGGGACGACGTCAAAAGATCGATGTCGGATAAAAAACTTATTTCCTTTAGTTTGGGGATGGGGGGAGTATTTGTAGTTCTATCCAATCATGGACAGAAATAACCGAAAAAGGAAAAAAAACAGAAAAATGGTTTGGTTCGAGTGTAAATCTGTGCGTCAAATGAGGTGCATTTGTAAACTCTCTTTACACCCACCCGACAACCAACTGCTATGCAATACTACTGTCCGATTGTCAATTTGTATTTAATAGTCAATGTAGTCTGACGCCATGACCAATATTTATCAATTAAGTTTCAGTGGGGGGTAGGGGGGGTTTGAAAAAAAACTAAAGTAATTAAGTTTTTTATCTGACATCAATCTTTTGACGTTGTCCCTAAACATGTCTGCATCTAGATACAGTATACATGTACACAAACACAGAGATATTAATAGGATGTACCACCATGACACAAACAAGTCTAATATTAGAGGTCAATGTCCTTACATAGCAACTTGATGGATGGAGGATAGGGAGAATGATGTTCATATAAATTACATCTTTAAATTTAAATTAAATTAATACTAAATAAAATTATAAAAGTTAAATAAATATAATATTTAATACAGAAACGTAGGACAGTATAGCTGACAGATCGTGTAGTTATTTTTTGCAAAGTATGCCAATGTTAAAAACTGCTAGAATTTTGACCTCGATGGATGGGATTCTCGTATAGAAGTTGCCAGGTCTATCATCTCAATTGGTGCACGGCGTTCATGGAGCGATCGTGTTGTGTTTTGAAGCGAAACACTGAATTAGCAAAACAAATCTATGGAACTGTTACGTTACGTATTAAATTACAACACTGAAAATGACAATCGGGCGAAGGTGATGAGAAGTTTATCTGTTGGTTTAAATTTAGTAGAAGTTGGTCACTTATTAGAACGGTGTCTGCCCCTATAAAGCGTCTCCTTCTCTCAAGTTTTCTTTTTAAATCAGATGACGCATGCAACTGTGTTAATACAAATACTTAATGACAATGAACACTTACTTTACAAAATACGGAGCACCTTCTGGTGTGACGGTCTCCTCCCATCCACGAGGAAGATCTGTCAATACAGAGAGGAAGAAAAACACAGGAATCAACTCAACGCCGGGACTCACCACGCATGGCAGTATGTGGAATCTCCTACCAGGGACTTCGATTTGCATACACAATTCCAAATATAGAGTGTTGTTTAAAGACGATCGTGCTCCATAAACAAGGACAAACTGTTAGAGACCGCACACCATTCACTTACCTTGTCGGGGACGGTTCCCAGTCGAGATCGGTTCCCCGAGGAAGGGGTGCAGCCATGACGTGGTCTGGGATTCGTCACTTTGGAAGAGAACGATACACAAAGTTTTAAAATGGTACACAAGGTCATATGTAAACGTGATTATCTGGAGATTTAAATTATGTGTCTTACTTGATGAAAAAGACGCGACCGTCTTTCGAAACACCGTATGTCCACGGCGGTGGAAGAGGTTCATGGAGTAACTTCTCCGCCATATTTGTAAACTACAACCTGTGTACATCCTGACAATCCCTGACGCTATTTGTTTTATTGAACACACTCCCGTTTAAAGATGTAAATTCTGCTTAACATCGCGGTTTTTTTTTCTTTTTCAAAATATACTTCGACAAGATAATATGACTGACAGGCACACGCTTAATTTTACAAAGTGTCAGTGATGAATAGTTCCAATTACGCGAAACAAAGAAATAGATATACACGCAGTAGTGTGAATCGATTAACGGGAAGATGAGCGGAGGAACGAACAGCAAAACAACACAGGTATATTCAGGACACTCTTTCAATAATAGTACAAACCGATTGGTTGATAGATATCACGTGGGCCTTCTGTTTAAAGTGTGCATTGTTCTATTTACGTATACTTTTTGGAATGTTTCAAGAATTTGAAAACGTGGTCTTTTGCATGATACCATGAAAGGGAATATTGAAATGCAATTACCACTGAATACGGCCGCTTGTACCTTTTTCTCTATGTATATGCCACTCACTCACAGTCAAGTCAGTCAGCTGTTCAGCTTACGGAGCTACTCTTTTTTTTAGCTCCATGGTCAGCTGTGCACATCAGCCGTACACATGACTAAACAAAACTTCAATAAGTGAATTTGTTTACAAATGCACAGGTACATTATTTTTGTAAATTATGTGGGTGTGTCTATTTCTCGTGGCTCCCTCATCGGTGAAGTTAGCGCGCACATGTTTGTCCGAGTCGAGTGAGGGCGCCCCTTAACTGCTCTGTAATATTCACCATGAAGTGACATATCTGCGGTGAATAGTTCCAGACACAAGGAAATACAAGCATACAATCATCAGTTACGCTGAAAAATAACTGCGTTCAAAAAACAAAAACAACTTTAAAAAGGCGCCTGCAAAAAAATCAAAATGATACTTGAATTTTTTACCTCCATATAGTGTGCGAAATCGGGTATTAATTTAAAAGTGCGACACTGTACGAAGAAACGTACTCCTCCTATGCGCATATATTTATTCAAAGTCTCTTGTTTAATGTGTGTGCTTCGTCACGTCGTGTTGATACCTAATGAATAATACAATGAACACGCAGTTGATAATTAAATGTCTGGTCTATTTAATGGTGATCTTATCCAGTTTAGCGCAATACGTCTCCACAGAGCAATGACAAATGAAACGAACTTAGAATTATATCGGCTACTAGTATATTACTCTTCATGTGGACATCAGACAACTAATTAGTTGTTTGAGTGTGGACACATGTTTAAAGATATATTATCGATCATCTAACCCATTTCTGCTTATTTGAATTTAAATTACAGCCCACATTACCTAATTAGCATACTAGTATTTAGGTAAACAAATGACACAATGCTCATAAATGCCTGATAATCGTGTATACAATGTTCAACTTATCCAAAAACTTGGCAAAGTGAAAACTGTGGTTATGATTTCGATATTTTAAAATTGTCTGCTAATTATCAAATGTCGCCATTCTATCTTGTAGTCAATTCATGTACTTTTCGCACAACATGAGTACCACTATTAGGGTATATGCATTTGATCCCATTTCTGACACCAAAACGTCACAGTGTAAGGCCTGCTTATTGCTATTGAGAGGGGCACCCACAGGACTCATACTGGACAGGGGGTTCTTTCACTGCTAGAATGGGGTGGACAAGACAAAGACAATAGTGCTGGAAATGAAATACACATTATACACCAAAATATCAAGATAAGGCTCCTGGCTTTAATGCCTCTCAAAATAAGTACAAGAAACAATGCACAGAAAAATACAATGAATAAATTCACTAAATAGGATTGCTTAGGGAAGTGTGCATTGGTGATAACTAACAGTTCCAGGATGTATAATGGATGACAGCCAATGGCTTCTGTAACTCAAAGACGAATAAATACAGGAGCCTTTAATACTTGCTTTCAGAGGAACGCTGTTATTCTGGAGGGCACCGCTGAAAGCAGGATATCGCAGAGCAGTTCATACAAGTCTCACAGAATGATGATTGAAGCTTGTATCACTTATTTCACAATATCGCTGCAGCTATACACCAGAAGGGTACTCAGTTGAAATTATGGACCCCAACTGTCCTCATTCTAGCCTATTTATAGGCATACATGGCCCAGGTTCAAGGACACCACCTGGTTTCCACATGAGCCAACCAGAATGTGGTCTTGCCAGCAGCCGTCTTACGTAGGCAAGTCAGTAGATCACAAACATCTTTTTTTTTATATTTTAGGCATAGGACCCACCGCATTAACCTACTGTTTACTTCTCGTGCCTTGTTTAAATAAATCAATGTCTGGTGATCAGTCTCCAAAATAAATTCTAGTTTCACATTTTGCACCATTTTCCCACTAATGTGCATGTTATTTTTCAAAATTTGCACCCTTGTTCCACTATTTTACAC